CTTAACCAATCGATAGTTTTATTAATACTTATGAAGTCAAACGGGTGAAGCTTGTGGGTAACGGCTAGTTTTAATAAAAGCTAAACATGATTAAAAAGTAGAACCTCCAAGGATTGATTTTGAAGAATGAAAATATTGCACCCCATAAAATCATATATTAAAAAGCTAATCATCCAATTTCGTGTTAGGTCATGACAAAAAAAGCTTAAATACTTATTGTTATATGAAGTACCGGGGGAACGAACCACGGCTCGGTATGTTTATTCCGGTTGTAAAAGCAATATAAAGGAAACTCGCGTTTTCTATATAACTAATTTCAGCTTTTATTATTTAAGTTTAAGTGGAATATCAACTTATTATGAAGAAAATATATACTTGGCAGTCCAACACATAAATTTACTTTAATCTAACACATTTCTTACGTTGTGAATAAATAAAACAAATGTTAAAAAATAAAAGAAGTATTTTTGATATTATTTCCTATAGTAGGAATTAATATACAATCACAGGTTCATACAGTAGCAATCACTCAATCAGCTACAATAGCATTAATACAGCATAGTACTCACTTGAGTCTATACTTTTCAATGCTGCCTCTTCTCGTCAAATGACTGTTTTGTGGTTTGAAGAAAGGGACAATACGATTACAAGGAATATATTACTAGGTGGCGTTCGCAGAGGCATCCACAAAATTGAGCGGAGTCATCAAGGGTTCATATTATATTGTTTTTGTCATACTGCAGTGAAAACAGTCGTTTTTAATACATGCGTTGCTGGTCTAAAGTAGCATTTTTACTCTTTAGGGAGTAAAAATCGTTTTTAGCCTCTATGGAGTAAAAATGGGCTGTTGTCAACTCAGTTGTAAATTTATATTGTAAACGATTGCATGTATCGATTCATGCTTCGTAATCATTTTAACCTACAGTCTACAGTCTCTTCCCATAGCATTTTAGCTTTGCAGATACATTAATCCATTCCCACACTCAAAACTGCTCACCTTTACTACTTGCTTCACCACCCCCTACGTCGTGGACATGATTCCCTCTCTTCTCATAGCATTTTTGGATTGCAGATACATTAATGTAATTGCCAAAGACAGTTCCCACACTCTGCACTGCAAGCCTTACTACTTCCTTCACCACTTCCTACATCGTAGGGCCTGTTTCCTTCCCTTCTCATAGCATTTAAGTATTAAATACATTTATCTTACTGCCCAAACGGTTCCCCCACTCTGCATTGCCAGTCTTTACTACTTCCTTCACCACTTCCTACGTCGTGGGCCTGTTTCCTTTCCTTCTCAAAGCATTTTAGGATTAAAGATACATTAATCTAACTGTCACAGACGGTTCTCACACTATGCTCATACTTTACTATTTCCTAAGCCACTTCCTACATCGTGGACTTGTTTTCATCAAGTTTCCATTACATTTTAGTATTTGAAATACGTTAATTTAATTTCCACAAACATTCTCCTAACTCCACACTGCTAGCCTTTACTAATTCTTTCACAATTTTCTATGTCGAGGTGTTTAGTTCCCACACTCCTGACTGCTCGCCTTGACTACTTCCTTCACCACTTCCTACGTCTCGGACCTGTTTCCCTTCTTTCCCATAGCATTTTAGGCTTGCAGATCCCTTAATCTAATCGTCATAAACAGTTCCCAAACTCCGGACTGCTCGCATTTACTACTTCCTTCACTATTTCCTACGTCACGGACCTGTTTCCCTCCCTTCCCATAGCATTTTAGGATTGCAGATACCTTAAACTAATCGTCATAAAAAGTTCCCACTCTCCGGACTGTTCTCCTTTACCACTTCCTTCACCACTTCCTACGTCACAGACCTGTTTCCCTCCCTTCCCTTAGCATTATTGGATTGCAAATACCTTAATCTATTGGTCATAAACAGATCCCACACTCCGAACAACTCGCCTTTGCTACTTCCTTCACCCCTTCTTACGTCACGAACCTGTTTTCCTCCCTTTCCATATCATTTTAGGATTGCAGATACCATGATCTAATCGTCATAAACAGTTCCTACACTCCGGACAGCTCGCCTTGACTACTTCCTTCACCACTTCCTACGTCACGGACCTGTTTCCCTCCCTTCCCATAGCATTTTAAGATTGTAGATACATTATTCTAATCGTCATAAACAGTTTCCACATTCCGGGCAGCTCGTCTTGGCTACTTCCTTCACCACTTCCTACATCGCGGACCTGTTTTCCTCCCTTCCCATAGCATTTTAGAATTGCAGATACCTTAATCTAATCGTCACAAACAGTTCCCACAGTCCTGCTTGCCTTTACTACTTCCTTCACCACTTCCTACGTCACGGACCTGTTTCTCTCCCTTCCCATAGCATCATAGGATTGCAAATATCATAATCTAATGGTCATAAACAGATCCCATTCCCCAAACAGCTTGTCTTAATCCTCTTCCTTCACCACTTTCTACGTCGGGGACCTGTTTCCTTCCCTTCCAATAGCATTTTAGGATTGCAGATACCTTAATCTAATCGTCATAAACAGTTCCCACACTCCTGACTGCTCGCCTTGACTACTTCCTTCACCACTTCCTACGCCGCGGACCCGTTTTCCTCCCTTCCCATAGAATTTTAGGAATGCAGATACCTAAATCTAATCGTCATAAACAGTGTCCACACTCCAGACTGCTCCCCCCCCCCCCACACTGCACATCCTTCATCACTTCCTACGTCACGGACCTCAAGCTAGTGTCGTCATTTGAGTATTTATGATCCATACCGTTTCTGTTCCAATATCTGTGAAATAATGCTATCAGCTATTTCTTTATCTACTGCATTCAAAAGTCAACAGCTGATCATATGTCTTTGTTTATGTGTCAAATACTGCTTCCATAAGGATTACATTGAAACTTTGAGACCCAGTGGGGCGGATTCCTGAGGGACTTTTTTAATGCCATATAGATGTTGGCACTCACCGATATGGTCTTTATCACCATGCAAAATTTGAAAACGATTGATTCAGCCGTCTAGGTGGAGTTTGCGTATTACGAAATGCATAAGAGTCGACGTATAAGAGCTTCGCTCGCTTCGCTCGCTCCGCTCAACAAAAAAATGTTAATCAGCTAACAAACCCCATTACACTAAATTAGGATTGATAAGTGTTTTTTAAGAGTCTTTGGAGAATAGCGGCCAGCTTGGATCATCATCCATAGAGTTGATAGAGAATAGAGTTGATTATCATCCAAAAAAGTTTAACAAACACCAAAGTGATTATTATTTAAATATCTATTATACTGTGGGGTTAGAAATTTTCATTGTAGTTTTGAATTATTTTTTCAAGTAAATCCATGGAAGCCAACGGCCATCTTGGATTTACCTGCCGTAAGAGCAATGTTAACTTTAACAGCCACTGGAGAGTTATTTACCATCTAAAAATTTTTTTTTACAAACACCATAGTATTTGCAATTGAAATACCTAGTGCGCTGTGAGATTAGAAATTTCTTTGTAGTTTTTAAATTGTTTAATGAGTTAAAGCGTCTAGGCTCTTAATAGCGTGTCTAGAATATAGTAGGCACACAGGCACATCCACCTACCGTCTCCCTCCCGCTCACTGTTATCATATTCATAAACGAATCAATAACGTCTGGAACTTACCTATTTACTGCTCAAACTTCCAGGCTGGTTAAGTCTCTTCAATTTTCTTGAACTCTTTGAATTATAAAAGTAAAAACTCTTCCCAATACATTATATAAACTTAAATTGTATAATACTCGATTTGAACCAATTCCCTACAACTGTTTATTTGATTAATTAGAATAGAACCAACAAAAATATATCAGCTTTTTAATGTTACGAAAAGTTTTTGATATTTGAGTTGCTGTGGGCAACGTTTCTCAAACATACAACTTATATGTAGCCTAGATAGAGATTAATTACATACCAATTTTAAATAGGAAAAAGTATATAATTAATTATTTGTAATAGTTGCGAGAAAGCCTTTACTAAGCCGGATTGTTACACTGTATACGTGTACAGTCTACAGACTGGTATACGAACATACACTGATTGGACTTTCACGAACGTGAATTAGTTCTAAACTTCACGAACTTAGTTGAACACATAATTAGATAAAAACGGGGAGAAATAAATTAACTTATCATCTTAATGTACTAGAACCAACCTTAAAGTATTCCAATTAGTACCAAACATTGAAAATAAGTTGTCTTAATATCGTAAGAAACGCCATGCTTCTGTGAAGCGTTGAAACCAAGAAATCCAACTATTTATTTATATACAATAATCTGAAGTATTCAAATATAAATGATTGGGCTTTTATCATGTTTAAAGTTTTGATTCACACACTTAAAATAATTGCTGTCAGTACAATAAAAACGACACGCTATGGTAAAATAATTAGAAGAATAGAATATTCCTTTACACAATATAATCCTGATGCTAAACATTTTTTAAGTATTAAATATAAAATAAAATACTGAAGTGAAAGTAAATACCACATTATGTTGCTTCAAAATTCACTTAGATTCAGAGACAATGAGTGACAGTGACGACGATCACTGTAAGCGGTGCAGTGTTCGCTGTCAATTGTGAGCAGAGGGGGAGGAGAGACAAAAGAAAACATTTGCAATGCAGAGCTGCGGTTGGGGCTACTAATTGGGGACACGCGCCCTCCCCCAATTATTTCCGTTTTCTTACACATGAGCGAGGTGCTATGTGCGGAATAACGCGATCGGATCAGACGAACGGGGAGAGAGAACAGTGACGGTGATCTTGTGGCGGAAGCTATAAAGTATATAACAGTCCATTAACAGCTGCAATTAAATATTACAATGAGATAAGCAGCTGTTTGGAAGTTGCTGCCACGAAATTATACTTAAGGCTCTGGCTGTTTGTAGCAGACCATGTCTAAGGACCCTCCCCCTTCCACAGACAAAGTAACATATGAAAGATCAGGAAACGTAACTTTAGAAATCATTTGTTTTATTTTTTGTGACAGGTGGAATTACCGCGACTCCCAGTACCACCTCTGGAGCAGACCATGGCCGGGTATCTGTCCACCCTCCAGCCACTACTCACCCCCCAGCAGCTAGAGTACACCCGGGGTCTGGTCCAGACCTTCACCAGTGCCGAGGGTCCTGGGCCACGTATACAAGAACAGCTGCTACAACGACAGCAGGCCATGGATAACTGGGTGAATACTCCTTATATACTAACGTGGTTAATGTGGTTATTCTGAAGGTTTGCTGTGACAAGGTTTTGAACTTTCTCCCCTATACATAGTATGGTGCTTTGGTATTCTCCACACTACACCAATAAATCGACTTCCAAATAAGGTTATAATTAGTTTAAATAACAAAATCTTCCTAACATAAGATAACATAACCTAACCTAAACACCCTTAGGTTAGTTTAGGTTAGGTTAGGTTATGTCAAATTGTAAGGTGTAGTAGGTATAATACCAAAGTACCCATAGTATCACTGTGAAAGTATGGTTTTCGTCAAAATTTTCACGTTTATGTTTTGAATGGAAATATCCGTTTTGAGTCCCTGTGAACCCAAAGAAGTGGTGGCATTTTTTGTGATTTCCTCATAACATATCAGAGGTACTCCCACCGCTTGCCCCATTATAAGGATTGTTAACATGCTACTGGGAGAAAGTAAGTGTCAGTTTGCTGATAATAGTTTATTTACCTTGGAATTATGGATAAGGTTCGATAGAGTGATTTCTCATCTAGTGCTTGTGTCATGTATTATACCCTAGGTAAAAAGGTGCAAGGTATTGAAGATATAAATAGATATTGTGATTCATCATCTAGTACTTGTGTATTTGTGGTGTTATTATATTAAATAATTTCATTATAAATGTATTGTATTATACACTAGTTAGACATGCGCAAAACATTGAAGGTTGCATGGATTTTAAAAGTCAAAAGATGTTCCACGGCGACCGGTGCTGCAAAGTTGAGTAGGCAAGACCAACGCTGTATCAATATTGCGTTCTGTAGTGGAAGGCGCACGGGCACCGGCGTACCGTACTGAGACATACTCGTCCTGGTCCACTATATCGCTACTACTGCTCTGCTATACTGATGGAGCCCGAGGTCCCGGGTTCAAAACCTACCAATCACCAATGTCGCGACCCTCTGGGTCTAGTCTAAAGTAATCTGTAACACAGTTCCGGACTAGAACCTAGCCTCCTAGTATGTGAAGGTGGGACATAAAGAAATTGTAAAAACTCTATGGTTAAACATATTTTTGGACTATGCATTATTGTGCAATAATTATGCTATAATTCAAACGTATAAATATTTAGTGTGTTACTACTATATTATTACTATATTATCACTACTAAACAAAAGTCTGACAAAGTTTGTAAACGAGGGATGGCAGGCTTTATACAGATGTGTAAATATTGTTTGTACTGTAAATGGTAATTAAATCAACACGACTTAGATTCGCAAGGACACATAGTAATAAGTCATGCAGGGAACATTCATTCTACTCTCTTAACCAGTGCCCATAGGTTATATGTTTAACACCATATACAAATTATCTCTTAGGCTAATACAATTTAAAACCTTCTTATTTTACACTAAATTCAATTATTATCTAAATAATTTATAAATAAAAAAACTTTTAAAACAAAACGTTTTTAAACAAAATAAAAAGTAGAAAATAATTTATAAATATGTGGAGAGTATAAATACTTGTAAGATTTAAAACGAAAAACGTGGGGTGCATGCAATAGATAATTTACAATTACCTTCACCTATTGAACTAATGTATTATTATCAATTGCAAGCACCCCACGTTTTTCGTTTTAAATCTTACATGTATTTATACTCTCCACATATTTATAAATTATTTTCTACTTTTTAGTTCGTTTAAAAACTTTTGTTTTAAAAAGGTTTTTTATTTATAAATTATTTTCTACTTTTTAGTTTTAAATGTGTGTGGATCTATTTCAAGCATCTATATCAGATTAAGTCAGAGGCATGTGGGAAATCTAAGGTTAATTTGAGTTTCTTTTGATATATAATTATGTATTAGATTTAATGTATGGCCTACCTACTAACTATAAATATATCAATCTATTTAATTTATTGTTTACTTTATAGAATACTAAATAAATAACAATTGACATTATTAACAAACACCTTTATATCTTCGTACAGATTTTTTATCTTTATTTTGAAATGTTTGCTTGTATAAAGAATCTCTTGGGAGCATAACCTGTTCCTCTTAACCTCTGCTCTTCAAACTGTCAAATTTAAGTATTTACAGCTGACTTAAATTAATTTATATATTTACATTCTTTCAAAATGTAAACATGAAAAATTTGGAAGCCCATGGGGCGTAGTCCAAGGGAAATATGAAAATCAAATGATATAATATTGGGTTTGTCATCCATTTATGAGCTATGTTCCAAATTTCAAGTCTCTAGCTCATCAGGAACTTCGTTTAAAATTGATATCAAAATTTGTAGGAAAGTGAGCTAATAAAAAGAAGCTCATGGGGCGTAGCCCAAGGGAAATATGAAAATTAAATGATATAGTATTGCATTGTCACCCATTTGTGAGCTATGTTTCAAATTTCAAATCTCTAGCTCATCGGGAAGTATCAAAATTTGCAAGAAAGCGAGTTAATAAAAACAAGCCCATGGGGCGTAGCCCAAGGGAAATACGAAAATTAAATGATATAATATTGCATTGTCTTCCATTTGTGAGCTATGTTTCAAGTTTCAAGTCTTTAGCTCATCGGGAAGTTAGTATAAAATTGATTGCAAAATTTGTACCAGACAAGAAAGCGAGCTAATAAAAACGTTTTAAAAATGTTCTTGCTAACAATCATTTGAAAAAAATATATTTTTATAAATATTTGTATTGCCCCCTCCCCCACTCATCAAAACTCCGCCCATGTGTTTAATTTAAAAGTGCTGAGACAAGTATATCATTTAATTGCCTTTAACGTAGTTTATTTCCCTCGTCCGATGATTATTCCCAATTTTACAGCTGTATTTAACAGGTTATTCATTTTATACTATTCAAAGGGTACTTGACCTAGCAGCGGAAAAAACAGCTAGTCCACTAATATTTTCAAACATATATTTGGTCTATAGTGCATTTCCATGTACATTGAAAATAACCGAGGAACCGCAGATACAATATTTCCGTTTCCTCCGCCTATTCAGCACTCAGTAGTCCTCAGCCTATATTTGCTGAGAGTACCTATACGACCAGTAGTCACGTGATACATTCCCTCCCCCCCCCACCTACTCTTACTCCTGACAATCTTATGCACTCTTAAGTGTATCCGGCAACATTACACTTCTACAATACTTCTAATGTTTCCTTTGATTTAATCTTACTTCGTATTTAATACTTTTATCTAGGTACACTGTTATATTTATCAAAACATCTCCGGGTTCATGTTGACTTTTTATGCATGTTTTATCATACTGGATTATATATGTGGCAGACGTTAATTATTTTAATTGTATACCTGGACCGTTATTAAAATCAACTTTGTTCACTGCTTAACCCTTTAACTTTAATGTTCAATTAAATTGGTTTACCTGAAAGAAATATTTTATTTTGAATTTTACGTTATTAAGACTGAATGTAACTTTTGGATAATCCCTCTTCACAAAACGTATAAATAAAATAACTAATTTAAACATTACGTTTGGCTATCACAAGACAAAAGGGTTGTTTGTAATTGTTATGCTGACCTAACAAAAGATATATGTTAGTATCAAGAACAGTGTTCTGACGGTCCAAATGTAAAGAATACCACATACTATATACACTAAAATAGAAATAAATAAATGGAATGTGTACACGTTTATTCATTAGGACGACCCCAGACCTTGTGTCTAGAGGCTTGGTGTTATGTGAAGGGGGGGGGGGAGGGGAGGCTGCACTTGACCGCTTTTGTTAGCTCAGCTTTTGATCTGTTGATAACACTCAGTTTCCCTGTCGCAAACCCTCCCACTCCAATAATTGTCATATATGAAATATGAGTGGGTTCTGAACAACTTGTCCTACTTAGATATTAGTTCTGTCTAGCCTTCGTCTGTAGTAGCCTATAACATTTTGTAGACTGAAACTGGACAAATAGATAAAACTGCCAACATAAAGATGCGCATATTTATCTACCTAAATATTTAATATGCCAGTATAAATTTTGCAATCGTTGTTTTTAAACTGTCACTTAAACTTTATTACCATGCCCAAGGTGTCGTTGGATAGCCTAGGTCATGGCACGTAGATTTACCTTCAAATAAAAAATGTTTGAAAGTTCATCAGGGCTCTGTCCCAAAGGCCTTCTAATTTCTACTCCTGCTTTAGTTTTACAAATAAAAAGAATACCTGGACGGCTGAAGCAATCTGGACGAAATTTAGGTCAATCATAATCAACTATGTGAAGGTATAGGATAGCAATGGATCTTGTGCAAATCAAGCAACAGGGGGGTTTACGTGAATTTAATCTTTTAGAAATTTACCATGGGTGTCATGGCTGATTATTTGTCATAATAATAACAATAAAAACTTAAATAAAGAGTTGTAACATGATTATTAACAAGCAATTTATACAAACGCACTACAAATACAGCAACAAGAAAAGAAAGATCAATCTGATTAATACCGTTGAACATAATATACAACAAAATTACCAAAATAACCAATTTCAGTAGAGCCTATTCACCACTGACTTCCCATTGACTTGTCATTTACGTGAACCAGAGATGTACCATTGCATTAGCATGAAGCGTTCATGAGACGGATTGATGAGTCTGACTGGATTAACAAGTTTATTGCCAGAAACAAACACAAACGTCATGCATGCATGATTCCGGAAGCTCGGACAGTTAAAATACCCTCAGCAAACCTGAGACTAAGTGAATTTCCATTTACCTGACTGGATTTCAACCAAAATATTCCTTTAAAATAGTCAGATTTATTTCCTATTTAAATAACATTAATTTTAATGAATACTTAGGTTTGCTGCTACATGCAAGGTATTTAGGTGTTGTTTTATTGACATGTCGATAGCTTAGTGTGAAATGAATAAAATGGTCAAATTTAATTAAATTATATTCATAAACTAGCAAACCACAACGATTTATTAATTCTCCATAAGAACAACATGGGGATTTTTTTACATTTTTTTTAATTATCTCTGTAACCGC